GAAATGAACTATCCAGTAAGAATAATAATAGCTATTATTTGTTAACCTTTTACTCTTTGCCAGGCAGAGTTCTGAGCATTTTACTTATATTAACACATTTAATGGTCCCAATAACTCCACCAAGTAGGTACTATTATCATACCCATTTGGTAAACAAGAAAACTAAAGTATAGAGACAGGTTAAGTAATTCACCTCAGGTCACACAGCCAGCAAATACTGGGGCTGGGATTCAACCCTAGTAATCTAGCCCCCTAAGTGGACCACACTGTCAGGTAGACCATCTCAGCTCTATTTAAAAGGGTTTGAGGGTAACAAAATTTCACTACTATTTGAATTTTAATTAGTAGCATAATAAAACATATGCTTTTTTTTTACTTCTTAAAATGCCATGTTTTCTGGAAAATGTCTCTTCTCTGAACCATCTATGTGGTCAAGTTCATACCACATAAATTCCACCCCTCTCCAGTCACCCACATCTGACTGGACCACATGTGAGCCATCTGAACCACGTGGGCCAATGGGCTCCTTCCCTGAGACTTAGGCACTGAGATTCAGATTCCAGCCTCAAACTGCTGTCTTAAAACAGAAACCTAGCAGCTGTTAGTCACAAGTGCTGAAAACCCAGAGAAAGCCACTCTTCCATGTGAGAGCAGAATAATGGAGAAATGAGAAGAAAAACACAGATAAGAAATGGAGGTGGAGGAAGGGAACCTCTGGTTCACAACATGCTCTAGTCCCTTCCTGAATTCCAAGGGAGCTCTACCCCCGGGTCCCATGAGACACCACCCCACCGCACCCCCCCGCGATGGTTTCTACTGTCTTAGGGAACCGGAACTGAGATCTGTGTGTGGGTGTGCTTACAGCTGTAAGAAGGATCCTACCCTAGAGGAGCTCAGAAGAGCCATCATAAGCTGGGTAATGGGGTGGTGGGGGGTGGGTGAGATAAAAGTGGAAAGTTTTGTACTACAATTGAAGAGAATCGTTAAGAGGATCTAGAACTGTGCACTTATGGCTCTTTAAATTAATTAAAACTAAATGTTTCAATTAAAAATTCAGTTCCTTGGTCATAGCCACCTTTCAAGTGCTTTACAGTCACAATGTGGCTAAGTGACAGTCCTATCATAGCACAGAAACAGAACATTTCCATGATTGCAGAAGCTTGTATTGGACAGAATTTTGTCACAATGTTTCTCAATTCAAGGTAGTGTGAGACACTTGTGACGTTTGCGTCAGCACTGAAGTTTTTATTCATTAATAGTGAACACCATTCAGCTAACAGGACTAAGAAATTTAAGTAGGATGACTTTTACATATTGTTGTTTTGTGTGTAAAGAGATGAAAGATTAGTTTTATATATCTAAAGAAGTACACATTTAAATTGCTGATTTATGGACTATGTGGATTAAGCACTTTAAGAATTGGCCAGACTTTTATGTTTAAAATATAACTTGAATTGAAACCTGGCTTTCACAGCCCACCAAGAGTGTGGCCTTCACTGTACCCATGAACTGGCCAAGTAAGAGTCTCTGTGTTAAAGTCCTTTGATCCATAATCAAATCTTTAAAAAAAATTGTATTTTTAAAAATTTAGGTGAAATACATGTGACGTGAAATTAACCATTTGAAAGTGAACAGTTCGGTGGCATTTGGTACATTCACAGTGTTGTGCAACTTACTACCTCGAGGTTCCAAACTCTCTCATCGCCTCCAAAGGAAATCATACTCTTTAAGCAATCATTTAACACTCCCCCTTTCCCAGCTTTTGGCAACCACCAAACTACTTTCTGGGTGCATGAATGCACCTATTCTGAATATTTCATGTGAATGGAACTGTACATGTGATCTGTTGTGTCTGGCTTATTGCATCATTATCAAATTTTAACTAACAGTTTTAAGATTCACAGTATCATCTGTGTTAAACCATAGGCAGTACTGTTGCCTGACTGTCTTTTGGTAAAATCTTTCACTTTTTGTTTTAAAATTTTTGGTAATATATACCTTTTATCACAGCCAGTTCATTAATCTTCCTTTATCATAAATGATAGCATTAGTTTCTTTTAATTTGAGGTATGGCAGTTTTATTAACTAGTACACTTCTGATAAACTTTCCCACCTAATTAGAATTGTTCTTTTTTGAATACTTGATGAGGGTGTGCTCTTGATGAGGATGTATCTTCTGAACATGGAGATACCATTAGAAAATATGAAACTGATTTCATTCCTTGGGAGGTTTATTGACTAGCAGATACGAAGCATGCAGCACTTGGAAATCAAGCCCCAGTGGTTATGTTTGCCAGCCATGAACAAGTGACTTTGGACCTGGTAGAATTCTAAGCCTCCGCTCATTAGTAGCCAGTAAATCTGGATGTGATGTATATTATGAGTAATAGGAGTAGAATGAGAAAGGGTTGGAGATGTGTGTGAATGTGTATGTGTGTGAGAGAAGAGAGTGGTTACAAATACACTGACAAGTTTAAATGTAAAGAACATGTTGCTGTATCTGTGATTTTTCTGATTCATTGTTCCAAAAACATCAGTTCGCAGATGTTGCCACCATTGCCATTTGAATTGTAATGTGCTCCGTGGTCTGAATGCAAGGATAAGCTTTTTTCTTCCATCCTGGGGAAACTATTGTCAGCTTATTTTGAGGCCCTTTAATGTCGTCATTACGTGTATATTAATAACTTAATTGCTGTTTGTACTTGACCCTGTCTCTGCCTCTGTAAGCTGTACAAACTCAAGACAAATGCATTATAAATGTAGGGTGTTTTGAAAAATAAAACCATGAACAGATTTTCATTATGCTGCGTTATGCAGCCATGGAGGTAGTCTTATGACTGATGTCACTGTCCTGAGAGGTGCCTTACAGCCTTATGCTTGTATTGTATATTTGTAAATCTAAGAGTTGGTTGTAGAACCAGGTGTTGAGGTGTGTGTACTGTTGGATCTTATAAAGCCCATTTGCAGTTTGGGATGTCTTATAAGTGATGAGAGAGCCCCCCATACTGATTGTCTCCATCTTCCTTGCCTTACAATGCTTGACCATCCTAACTGTGTCACCACTTACTCGGTTTACTTTTACTGAGGGATTTTCAGCAGGGGCTGTCTGAGGAAGGGCAAGGTGGCATTTGTGTAACTTGGAGAAGCCCATTCTAATATGTCAGAATGTTTGGTAAGTTACCGCTTACTTCATAGGGTTGGGGGGGAGCTTAAATAAGATAGCAGTCAGCACATGAGGGCTCAATAAAAATTTAAATGGATTTAGGGTAACTTGCCACAACCTCCAACCCTACCTCCAGCACTTTCTATCCCTGTCTGGCCCATAATAGATATGCAGTATATGTTAGTTGATAGAATTGAACTGATGGCTCATTACATATTAGGGAGTGGCGAGTCAGTTGTTGAATATCTCCTAGGTGCGAGGAGTTCTTTAATTGAAACTAAACAAATGCGTACTCTCATTCAGTGCTCTGAGCAATCCTGTCAGGCAGATGACATGTCATTTCCATGATTCAGTGAAATAATTGCCTTTCACAACTTGTACGTGACACTCTAGGCTTTAAAGCCAGGAGTCAGCTCAGTGCTGGCCTGTCAGCACCAGCGTCTGCTGCCTCCTCCATCCTGAGGTTGGCACGTCAGCCTGATCACCTAACACTGCCTGACTTTCTCTGGAAGTTGAGTGATTTTTCCTTACTATACCTGTAAACTTTTCTTTGAAATAGGAAGTGAAAAAAAATCTTTTGTGAAGTACAATTCCTGTTCCTTCCAAACCTAGTTCAAATGCTTTTTCCATTTCTGTTAACATCCTGCTAATCGCATAGGTTGGGGTGTCTTAAACCATTCACTCTACCTTCCTGTACCTGTCCGGTGTCGCCCCTGTTACCTCTGTGCTTATCCTCTCCTCTCCAGCTGCACTGCTCCGCGGTGGGAGCCATGCTGGTGTTGCTGGCTGAGGTGTCTTTCCATTCTAAGATCATCCAAATACCACTGTGTAGGATCATCTGCAGCAGTGACACTAAGCATGTCACTTCTCAAGAGATCTTGGTTGCCCTTTACTTTTCAGGGGCAAGAAACTCCTTTCTTCACTACTTCATATTATGGAAGATTGGGCCCAAAACTTTTCTTGACTTACAGGTGTTAATACTTTCAGGGGAGTGATTTTAAATATAACTTTGACAGATTATGAATTCACTGTTTATTGGTGTGCAGGATTCATGTGACTTCAAATTCTTCAATGTCTTTTTTGCATCTTGGAGATTCTTTAAAGCAAGGGCACTTTCATTCCGGAATATCATTAGGCTTTCAGATATAAAAAGAAACTTAAACATTTAAGTATCAGTATATATTTCTCATACATCTCTTTCAGTGATATCATAAGTAGATTTTCAGTGTGACAATTGTGGAAACTGGATTGTTGCTTGATCTTAGAATTCTAAAAGAGGGACAAAACCAGTGTCATTTTAATCATCATTTCTGACATGTCATAAGGGCCCATACACATTTCAGTGACTTTATATGAATGTCCTTTTTACTTTCTTGGTATCAAATATAACTTATTAAAGGATCTTGATGATAAAATTTGTATGATTATAGAATTTTTAAAAGGGTTAATCATAGCCTTCTTTGACTACAGCTACCAAGAGAAACTAGAGAAGTAATGTGTCTTTGTTGAGCAAAATCTTACTAATCTGATCTGTGTATGCTGCTGATTACTCTTTAAATATCTGTGACAGAAAAGTTTTTGAAGCAAAATATGAGAACAAACATACTTTTATGAGTACATTTCCGTTACTGAAAAGGTTTCAAAATTGGCTGTGATTGGCAGATTTTTAGAAGTAGGTTAAACAGACTTATAGTTTGAAAACCTGAGTTAGTTGCCATTAGTTAGGTCTGGATTATTGAGATTTTTGTTGGGTTATTGAATTTATGTTTTTACTGTATTTTAGAACATAAATAAAATGGATGTGTAATTTCAATTTTTAATGGAACTTATTTCTATTAAATAGCACCTGTGGAACTTTCTCAAGAGGAACAATCATGTGAAGGTAAGCATCTACAATATGACTCTTTGAATATCTAATTGAAAAAACATTTAAGTTGTCTGTAGTGTATAAAGCTAAATATTGTTTTGTAAATATATATTATATCTCAATTTCTTGTCTAGGTTCAAATTCAGCTGTTAGCATGGAACTTTCAGAACCTGTTGGTAAGAAAATTTCTGACCATATTAATACAGTATTATGAAACTCTTTCACTCTCAAGATTTGAGGTGCACATGTAAGTGTTATGATTATTGTAATGCCTACATTTAACACTGACATTGAATCTTTGTGTTTGGATTAACCTTGCCATGATAAATATAGTAGTTGTCAATATAGAAGAATTGGGTGGAAGAATGGTAAAGTCAGTTTAAATAGTCATACTTGTTCCATTTACTTTGTGAAAAATTTCCTTCCTTTTTGTAACTTTTTTATTTTTAAGGGTTTTATATTTCCAGAAAGTTGATACCAAAGATATTACTTATAGAGGAAAAAGAAAAGAGCCCCTAAATCCTGTGTTCTGGTTTTAAACTTTCCCTTGTTTCCACTGTCAGGGCATTTTGACACTGGAGTTACTGGGCTGTTACGGATGATACATCTCCTGTTCTCATTTTGTTTGTCCTTATGAAATGAAGCTTTATACAAATAGCAATCTCTCGTAGTCTCTGAGTCAGCAGTGAGGCCAGCTTGAAAGCCACTATCCATTTCTGTTGTGAAAGATACTTTCTTATGTGTGACTAGACATTGGAAAGTGGAACTAAATCTGCAAAGTTCTATTTGTTGTTTGAAAGCATCTGTGTTTTAAAGTATAGACTCTAAATATTTTACCAGAATACTGAGTTAAAATACCTTATTTCAGTAGAAAATGGGGAGACAGAAATGTCCCCAGAAGAATCATGGGAGCACAAAGAAGAAACCAGTGAAGCAGAGCCAGGGGGGCTCCTTGGGAGGTGGAAGGCCCCAGAGGAAAGTGCCCAGGAGATGATGGAGGAGGAAGAGGAGATATCAAAACCCAAATCTGTGGTTGCTCCGCCAGGTGCTCCTAAGAAGGAACATGTACATGTAGTATTCATGGGGCATGTGGGTAAGTTGCATTCACAACAATAAGAAATGACCAAAGTTACTGCGTACAACAAACAGAACATCTTGACTACTTGGAGATGGTTAGTGAAACTGAATGGAATTGATTTAAAATGTCTTGACTTTTAACTTGATTTTTTGGCTGGCAAAAAATTTCCAGCACTTTATTCTTGAAGGTTGGGCCAATTAACAGTTGTATAATGGAATAGAAGCTGCAAGAAAATAAGCTACAGTAATTTTGTATGATGCATAATCAGTCTCTAGACCACTGACGATGGCTCAGCATATTATGACATTTATGAATTAACAGTCTAGAAAATATGCCTACTTTTTTGTGTGAACTTCAGTTATTCTGTTAACTTTATAGGATTGACTTTACTACGTAGTTTGATTTTGCATAATGTAAGAAATTAATTGGAGTGAGTTCTGCATGCTAGTCAGGTTGCTGGTTTAACACAAAACAAAACCCTATTTTATTTATTCAGGTGTTCTCTGTCTGACTTACTCCCAAAATTGTGAAAGGAAAATACAGGATTATGTGTCCTTTTTTCTTCTCTTTATCTCTGGCTTCCCCTATTCTTTTTTAGTAGCGAGAACCCTTTTGAAATTTGTAAAGGCACTCCTGTATCTGCTAAGAGTGAAAGGCAGGCTAGACCACCTAAATGGAGCTCTCAGTCCTGGTCTGCTCTTGCTGTCCACTGAGGCTCCGCTGGGGTCATTTATATTCTGTTGTTGCTGTGCTCTAAGCTAACGGTCAGGGAGGAATCCATCCAAAAATTCATTTCTTTATCAGTAAAGCAGTTCTCAGTCATTGTTGAGCTGCAGGGGATCTTAGCAGCTTCATTATACAAAGAGGAAGGTAACTAGCCAGAGCATGTGCCCCAAATTCCTATCATTTCAGTTGCTGTTGCAAGATGTAATTATATCAGCTAAATGATGCCTTCAGTTGTTGGTGTTTTTAATTGTTGGTATTTGGGGTTTTTGTCTTTTACACCTGGTTTACACATTGTTGATGATTACTTTTAGATGCTGGCAAGTCAACCATTGGAGGACAAATAATGTAAATATTTTCTGTTAAATAATAGTTAATTTAATGGAATGTTTTGGGCATTGCAAACATTCACACAAAGGGGATAAAACAGGTTACCCCAACTTGAGAAAAATTAAAAATAAAATGACATTACTTGTAGGGAAAGCTGATGTTAAGTAGTTTTTGCAGTATGATCGTTGTTAGAATTTTCTGATGGAATTTAGGTCTTCTCTAAAATCTTCTGTCATCACCACTAGGAACATAAATGGATTTATGAAAGCTGTGTTTTAGATTTTTTAATAAAAACTAATACAGAATCCTAGATCATAGGAAATGTCAGTCTGCTTTGAGTATAATTTTCTTGGGAGTAATGAAAAGCAGTTCTTGAATTAGGTGCATGGGGGAAAGTTTTTTTCTAATCCATCAACTCCTTAAATTTATAATCAAAGATAGGTGGTTGGCTAACATGCTAAGATTAGAAGATATGAAAACACCATGGTTGAACTTTAGTAATGTATTCTAATATTGAAAATATTTTTAATTAAAAGGCTTTTCTTTTTTTAAATTGAAGTATCATTGATTTACAGTCTTTTAGTTTCAAACGTACAACACAATGGTTCAACAGTTACGCATATTATTAAATCCTCATCCTCTCTACTGTGATTACTGTTGATCAACGTAGATAAATGTTACAGAATCATTGACTATGTTCTCCGTGCTGTACTATTCTGACCAAATTATACTGTGATTGTGAATTATTGTGTCCTTTTATCCCCCTCAGCCTCTTTCCCCACCTGCTTGGTAACCATTAGTCACTTCTCAGTGTCTGAGTCTACTGCTGTTTTGTTCCTTCTGTTTTGCTTTGTTTTTATATTCCACAAATAAGTGAAATCATATGGTATTTGTCTTTGTCTGGCTTGTTTTCCTGAGCATAATACCTTCTAGATCCATCCATGTTGTTGGAAATGGCAGTATTTCTTTTCTTTCTATGGCTGAATAATATTTCATTATGTATTTGTACTACATCTTCTTTATCCTATAGATAAATTTATCTATCCTTTATTCTATTTAAATTTATCTATCTTTTATTTTATTGATGGACACTTAGGTTGCTTCTGTACCTTGGTTATTGCAAATAGTGCAGCAATAAACATAGGGGTGCATATGTCTTTCAAAATCAGGGATTTTGTTTTTTTGGGGGGTAAATTACTGGGTCAAATGGTATTTCTATTTTTAGTTTTTTGAGGAACCTCCATACTGTTTACCACAGCAATTGCACCAACTTACATTCCCACCAAAGTGTAGGAGAGTTCTCTTTTCTCCACATCTTCAGCAGCATTTGTTATTTCTTGTCTTCAGATAGTGGCCATCCTGACTGGTGTGAGGTGATACCCTCAGTGTGGTTTTAATTTGCATTTCCCTTATGATTAGTGATGTGGATCTTTGCATGCGCCTGCTGGTCCTTTGTATTTCTTCTTTGGAGAAGTGTCTGTTCATGTCCTTCCCCCAGTTTTTAATTAGGTTATTGTTTTTTGGGTATTCAGGCACATGAGTTCTTCATATATTTTGGATGTTAACACTTTATCAGATGGGTTGTTTACAAATATATTCTCCCCTACTGTAGGATAAGGCCTTTCATTTTTAATCCCTCCTAAATCAGACCCATTTCTTTAAACTACATCATCAGAGGATCCAGAGGGCATATCTTCATGGTTTTGCTTTAAACAATCTTAGTTGGTAATCTTGCCAGTTACTTGTGAAAATTTTCACAACAGACCCTAAAAGAAGCTATTAAAAAGGAATCCTTAGCTAAGGCTCTATGGATGGACATGTTGGGCCCACTTTATGTATTTTAGAAGAATATATTTTTTGCTTATTGGCTGTAATTTTGGTTGGCATTTTCCTGGGCTTCTGTGGTTGGTTGGAAGCATGCTCTGTAGATGACTGCAGAGCACACATAGAGATGAAGGCCAGAACAGGAAGGCTTTGATTGGATAGATTGAGGCAAGGGAATGGTTAGTTATTACTAAGGAATTATTTAAAAATTATAATCTCTTTTTGACAAATATTTATAAAATATTAAATATTGAAATGTATTAGACCTAATTTCTTGGACAACACTGTTGGAATTAATTTTGTTTAGTATTTACATTTGCTTTTAAAAAAATTTTTATTCTGAAATAATTTGACTTGGAGAAATATTGCAAAAACAGTATAGGCTTCCTATTTGTCTTTCATTCAGCATACCTTAATGTTAACATTAAATAACTACAGTACAGTCATCAAAACTAGGAAGTTAACATTGGTGCAATATTAACTAAACTATGTAGGTCTGACTTGAATTTTACCAGTTTCTCCACTAATGTAGTTTTTCTGTCCTAGAAGTGTGCACTGCATTTAGTTGTTAAGTCTCCTTATTCTCCTCTCACTTGTGACAATTACTCAGTCTTGTCTTTCATGACCATCATCATTTGAAGAGTGCTATTTAGTGGCTTAATATGTTCTTGTATTGGGTTTGAGTGATGCTTTTTACAAAAAAAATTGAGTTTATAGATTTTGGGCAAAATATCACCGAAGATGCGTTGTACTCTTATCAGAGCATTCGGTCAGGGGTACATAATGTCAGTATTCGGCATGTTTTGTTGATTACTGGTTATATTAGTCATGATTACTTGGTTAAGGTGATGTCTGCCAGGATTCTCCAATGTAAAGTTATTTTTTCCCTGTTATCCTGGGGAAGATAATTTGAGACTATGTAAATGTCTTTTCCACAGAAATTTTCCATGATTGCACCATCTATCCAGTGGTACCTTTACTTCAAAATAGTTGTTTTCTGAAGTTGAAATTCCCTGCAAGGGCTTTAAATTTCCTTAACTTCATTGAATAATTTGTGAGTAATTAAGTGCTTCTTTTGTCTTCAAATGTTTTCAGGTATTTGACTGGAATGGTTGACAAAAGGACACGAGAAATATGGAAGAGAAGCTAAAGAGAAAAACAGAGAGACTTCGTATAGTAAACTTTTATGATAATGATAAATAACTTTTAGGGAAATGCTGCCTGCTTAATGCTTTTGCAGTCTGCTAAGATGTAAGTTCATGAAGTCTAAAATTGTGTCGTAACAAAGGAAAAGCTTCCCTTCTCATAGCACACAGCAGATCAGTTCATCGTGACTTTATAACTTACACAGAGAAAATTTGGAAACATCCAAACATCCTGTTGAGTAATAGACTTGTTCAGTAAATTATAAAGCATTTATTTAATTGGGTCATTACCTGACAACTAAATGCATTTATAGAATTTATAATAAGCAGTAGTAGAACTTAGATTGTAGTGGAATTCGGGGAGAAAGGTGACATAATAGTACTTCAGATATGATCATTAATTATGTAAATACTGGGAAGAAGAAAAGCATATGGACAGAATGAAAAAAATCTCTTGAATACACAGCATCAGGTAGCAGTGTAACTCATGACTGGAGGAGCTACTTAGGTAGTCAGCGGCAGCCTTTCTGACACAATAGCAAACAGAGGCCATGGCCACAGTTCCAGAGGTGGGAGCAGGGACAGCGGCTGTGTGTGTTGCAGGGACAGCGGCTGTGTGTGTTGCAGGCACAGGTGTAAAGGCCCGAAGGCAGAGATGAGCTCATGTTTTCATGAGCAGAGAAGAGCCAGGTGTGGCTAGAGGTTTAAAAAGGAAAGTGGGATGAAGTGACATTATGAGACAAGCAGAAAGGAAAATCATTCATGGCCTTTTAAAATGTTTTATTTTTTTTGGTATCAGTCTACAATTACATGCAGAACATTATGTTTACTAGGCTTCCTCCTTCACCAAATGCCCCCCGATACCCCATTACAGTCACTGTCCATCAGTGCAGTAAAGTACTGTAGAATCACTACTTGTCCTCTCTGTGTTGCTCAGACCTTCCCGTGCACCCCCCCCCATTATACATGCTAATCATAA